CATCTTCAGTGACCAGCCTCCGTCGACTTCTCGTTGAGGTTCTCCTCGATCGCCGCTCCGCCCTGAAATTCCATGGTGAGTTATCTTGCAACATCATCAGCTCATAGTCGCGCATGCACGGCGCGACTCACACCTACCTCCTTTACCGGAAGTCCGGCCTGGACTTTAAGAATGTACATCGAAAAAGAGAAAAAGGAAAGTTTCTCACCGGAATTTAGAGGGGACGCTGTAGGTATTGGGGTGGCTTTGGGACTACCAAAAAATGAGGTGTCTTGGCGGAAGGGTGGCGCTTTTTATATAATCAGAGAGATTGTTGTCTCTCTGATAAACGGTAATTCAGTGATATATTTATTAGCAACGACCTGGTTGCGGGTGGGTGAAATAGTCCCCTGTAGCGGGTATGACAGAGAAGAGAATCTCTTACTTAAACCCCGCACCGAAGAAGCGGTGGTGACCGCGGGTTCCGGACTATGCCAGAACACGCTCCGATGGAATCTGCCCATTGCAAGAGGTTGTTCCTTGTAGGGACCTTCCTTAATGATTCGGCATGGCCAAATATGATCTGACCATGCCTGCAGCGAGAGGCAGCTACGTTCAGGCGGCGGTAATCGTCGAGGAACTCGGCTGTCGCTGGAGAGGAATCAGTTTTGGTAGTAAGCAAAATGACTACCTCTTTGGTAGACTAATGGACTTTACTCTACACGTGCAATCGTTTATTACGACGTGTAAAGTAACCGACAATAACATACAAATCTGCAAGCTTATATACGCATAGATATGGGCGGTGCCCAGATACCATATCGTTGATTTACATTACGAGTACGATTAAGGTATGGGATAAAAAGGCGCACCGCGCCAATAGCAATGCTTAGGTTACCTACTTGATAGCACACTGATGATACCGATAGGTCATGCCTTTGGTATCGTCTCAAGGGGCACTTCTTCTCCAGGGTTTTACCTTCCAGAGAGAAAGAAAGAGCTAGGCTGCCATTCTCGGTGGCCAGCCTCCGTCGACTTCTCGTTGACGTTCTCCTCGGGCCGCTCCGCCCTGAAATTCCCTGATGAATCGCTGGCACGCGAGGCTCACAGGGTAAAGGAATCATAGGAGCCACCGGGACGAGCAGTTCTTCGGACGAATTCGTACTTTGGAAGTCGTTTGCCATTATGGTAAGAAGAACGTAGATAAGTAAAAAGGATCAAATTGAAGTCAGTGGAACCTTTTGAACAATAAGAAAAACACAGCAAAATGTAAATAGTTAAAGTAAAATCAAAGTGAAAGCTAGCTCGTTTCGCTTATTCTATAGATGGACTACCGTCTCTGCCTTTCCCTCAGCCTCATCAGGGGTGGTGTAGTGATAAGGGGCGCGCTCTCCCACACGCGTGGTCACGGGTTCGAGTCCCGCATCGATGTCCGCCTCCGCCAACTGAGCCTTCCATCCCTTTAGGGTCGGTTAATGGTAACATACTTATCTGGAAGGATAAAAGCACTGGCTTGCACATAAGCTGGCCATCGCAATCCATTGTATAGGTCACGTAAGCAACCAATAAGCCACTACCATTCTGAATGGAAGGCGAATGCGAGGCGCATCTCTCAGCGGGACTAATCTACGTCCAAAGACTTCATCCTTATTCTACGGGGCTTTTCTTCTAAGGTCTAGTATCCCGCCTACTCCGGTGCTCCTCCTCTCCATAGGCTCAGGCGATAAAAGTCTATTCCCGTGGGGTTTAACCGTTTCTTAGCAACACTACAAGGCCGATACTGCACCCTTCTTTGCGCTCGCTCTCGCACTTAGCCTACTCTTGTCCAAGATTTTTTAGGCTCCTTCCAGGGTCCTAACTGCTTCTATGAAGGGTTTGCCCTCCGGTGAATCTCACATTTGGAACTGCACTCCAATCGGTAGCAAAAAAAGAAGAATTACGCGCTCCAAGGTTGAAACCGCATTGCGACCGCGTGCTTGCGACGAAGGCTTTTTTTTACTAGCATGCTTTCGCTGAACTTTAAGCAAGGCTTCTTCTCCTGCATCAGCATTTTCATCTTGTAATCTTTAAAATGATTTTCATTAAGCAAATGAAATACAAAAGGTTTACCGGTAGGTACCGCCACAAATGACTTGTTAGGAGGTAACCATCTACACGCAACTAGAGTTGTGAATAGATATGGTGTTACGTGATTTTGCGTAAATGGTGACAGTGCTTTGTAATTCTTCTTTACTAAGCTTACATAAGTGCGCGAAGGTTCGCCTTGGAAAACCAGAGGTTTATATGAGCGGGTACGGGGAAATTTTTCCTTCACGGGAGGTTGGAGCTTGCGTCAACAGGTTTGTAGCGTGATATACGAAGAGGTGTTCAGGCGAGGAGCGAACAAATCGTACAGGAGAATAAAAAACTTCCGAGACATCACCCTAAGGGTGCTCAATGATCAAAAGATTTCTTTTTTCTGCCTCATCAGTATTTCACTATTGAAAGTCTGCTATTATGGAAAGTTTTTTTCTCGGCGTATCTGGGCTTCAAGCCTGTTCTGTCTTTTAACTCCAGCTATAGCACTTAGCACTTCTCCAACTCTAACTTCACATTTCCAGGTATGAACCGGCTCAGCATCATTAGGCACGTTTCTCGTGGGCTTGCATCGGCCGCTCCTCAAACGAGTACTGGAATAGAGCATGCAGATGCATTTGCGAAAAGGGGTGGTAAGTTTATCTGGCTTGATCACTATCTGTTTGCCGTGGTTTGGATGACATTCCTATTTCAGGACGTAAGCCGGACTGGAAGTTGTATAAGGTACCTGAGTATCTGAACATGAACAAGTACTCTTTTTATGAAACGGAGGTATTTTATTCGATTTGCTTATTTAGTCAGAGATTTGTTCGGTTATAATGAGTAGCCCCATTCCTTCTGTGCGGCTGTGTGTTCCATCTGGCAGCAGATGAGATATAATCGCTTTGCTGTTATTTGCGAACTCCTTTACACCCTTAATTCTGACCCTTAATGTTGACCCTTAATTCTGCAATGATTAAAGCTGAGGTGAGGTAATTGTTTAACTTTTTTCAGGTGACAATGTCAAAAAACCGTCTCAAGCAGCCGTCGAATAAAAAACCAGATGTGATGCCGCAAGTAAAGATTCAGCCGCAAGCGAAGACTCAGAAATAAAATGCTTAGCATTTGTAGATTTAGCTTATGGTGAATGAATAGATTCTAAATTTTGTGTTGGTTTTTCTGATTTGTGGTTATATGCATCCGATATATTCTTTTCCTTCGAACTGGAACCTTTCGTGTTCAATCGAAATCGCTAGGGTTACCGAAGGATCGCGTTCGTTCAGTATTTCGATAGTTGTCATAATCGCACTTTCAACTCTATTCAGATGAATTCTACCATAGTTGAACAGTTGCGTTCACTTTTGACGCTATCTGAAGAGGAAGCGTGCCGCCAATTGCAAACTTTAAATGCCAGTTTTGGTGCTCAAACGGAGTTTCAATTTGTTGACACATGCATGCGACAGGTGATCATTTTCTTTAACTGCTCTTAGACTTTTTGAATTTGAAAATTCCTATATTGTGTCTGGTTTGAAGTGTCCGTTCAGGTTTGATTAGACCCTTTTACTGTTTTTATTTTCGCGATGGAACTATATCCTTTTCGCAGTTGTGATTTGAGGGCAAGTAAAAGGAAATGTCTTCCTTCTCCTTCTACATTTTTCTCGTGGCTATCGAGTTCGGTAGTCTATGTGAAAAGTCGCAACCTGCGGTGACATCCACTATCTTATGTTCCATGGAACTTTGCTTTGTTTTTCTTTTCTCTTTCATGAATAGAGCGCTAGAACTTACAAGGGCCTCATTTAAACTGCAATCAGATACACATGAGGTGTGAAACCCAAAATCTAGTCATAACGTTCCGAAATATAGCCTGATTAGAGGGTAGGAAGAGGTCTAGAATGCCGATGAATAGAATTCTTGTCGCTGACCAAATTCAATACTAGGTGTAAGCAGTAAGCTCAAATGGGAGTGATTGCCGGTGTCAGTCTTTATAGAGACTCCAAGCCATCCGTCCTGCGAGTCATTGGTTTGCTGTTCTGGTTAAGCCTAGTACCAACCATAGCCAAACCTTAAAGTATCTGAAGGGTCCTTTCCCCTACCATTAATACGAAGATGAGAAGAATGAACGACAGAAAATCCTAGCGTGGGAGAGATATTTGTGCATGGAAGAACGCAGTGAGTCATTAACTGTCCTTGCCAATACCGTAAATGTGCTCCCAGTGTCATTTGGTGTCCCCTTTGAAGATCTGAAGGAGTACCAGCTGGGTAATGGTAGAATTTTCTCAAGTTTGAAATGTCCAGCCTTTTCCTGTCGCGCTCAGATGTTGCACGACTTTGAGTAAGACTTGCTTGTCATAATGTATCATATTTAGACGAGAATATTTCTAAGAATTAGGTCCGCACTAAGTTGGTGACTTACTATATTCTTACTAATTTCAGCATTCTCTCCTCAATATTAGGTTTTCTGTTCTTCTGTCCTACCTTTCTCTTTACGGGTTTCTTGGATTCGAACATTTGATCAATAACTTTGTTGTTCATTCATGTGAAGGCCGGCTAGTTTAAACANAGTGTTTCATAGTTCCACTACTGTATACTTGAAGTGCTATATCATTCTCTGTCTAGCTCGTGATAAACGGCAATTAGATGTGCTGCTAACGGAGAAAGTCCGGCACTTCATAATTTGTGCAAGTGGACATTCAGAAGAGAAATCAGAAGATCTACAGGGTGAGCCTTTCATTTTGGTCGTAACATATCGGTGCCGATGGTGTTTCGGAAAAGTAGTGCCTTCACTATGCTCTTTTTCAGTTGTTACTGAGGCGGATAAATGCTTGGTGAACACCCTCTTCAATTCTAGTGCTATGCGGCAGACATTTGAGTGAGTGCAACTTTTGAAACTCCCCTTATCAGTGACCAATTTCCAAGACCATACAGTTCTTAGATACTCTTTCCTGGCATTTTGCCTATTATTCCTTTTTGATTGGGATTTCACTGTAAGAAGAGAGTTCACACATGAACCAGTTACAATACAACAATTCGGCGCTTTCAGCAAGTGCCGACCATCGCAATAGGGTGCCATCGGTCACGGCATCCAGTATGGATGCGCCCATTCAAAGCTGTTATCATTACCTCAATTTAGCCATAGACGAACTTTAGGGCTGAAGCAATTCCATTTCTTCTTGAACGGATTTCGTCGTTCACTAATGCTGACTACTCTGGTCGGTACGAATGGATTAATAGTGTACCTGAAGATGCACGAGATTCCCTGTGGCTTTTCGATTTACGGATTGCTTTCTTGATATCTGCACATTCGGCAGCGATACAGGTAGATTCTGTTAGGAATTTGTGGTTATGTACTGTCCGTGCCAAGTTATTCTGAATTGTTGTTCTTAGTCAAATTGGGGCAGTTCTTCTTCTGCCCTCAAAACATTCCTCGATGTGATCCGTCAGTATATAGCTGCTGCGGACGAACTTGAAGAGTGCACACCAGAGGAGGCTACACAGCGTTTGAGTGTTTTATCCGAACGCGCTGGAGAAGCTGCCAAAGTCATATTCAATATCACATACAAACGGCCTGATCAGCTTAGTGAGGTTGGTTATCCCAATTCATTTAGTAAGCTAGGTTGCTCGTTCTAACTTTTCTTTTTTTTGTTTTTGCGAATTAATTTTGCAAGAGGTCGTTTTTCCTACACCAACACATTTTCAGCAACTCACCAACGAAATTACTGAGATAGTGTGTAAGCTGATGAAAAGCAAGCACTCTCAACCTGCTTTGGAACAGCATGCTGTGAATCTCTTGTCGACATTGAAGCTCAACATAAGTATGCTCTGCCCTAAAGTGAGTTCGTGTTTAGTTACCTCAACGAGGTTTCCAATGGTTTCGAGAAATTGAAAATGGCCAACTCGTTTATGTATGAAAAATGCCTAAGTATATGAAAAGCTTTCATGGGCTTGGAGAATGCCTGACTCGGTGAGAATCCAGTTTTATAGCCTTACCCAGAAAAAAAATTCATTGAACGTTGAAGGTTGTAAGTGATTAAAGATTTTGGATATTATAATTCCTCATTTGGGGCTTCTATTGTACTTTCTCTGTTTCCGCTTTGAATTTCGTTGAATCATATTTAACGTTCTCAAAAAAGATGGCGTTGAGTCGTGCTTAAGTGGGTGGAGAACTGTTTAGTATCAGTTCCTCCATCACAAAAGGGAAGCCACGCAACATATGAAACAAGAGCGATCGAATTTTTAAGTAGCTGCAATCCGATATGATTGCTTAGTAGTCTAGGGGACAATAAGTGAAAACTTTGGGGACCGTGATGCACTTCATAGGGCTGAATATAAATAATACTTATTGCTTCTGAAATTCAGATGAACTCAGCTGAAGACGGGCTAACGGAGCAGTACGACCTCTATGACATGTCTTTCGCACAGGCCCTTTTGGATGCAATGGAGAAAAAGCTCGATGATGTAAGCGTGCACTTGTCTGTATTCGTTCACTTTTCTCTTTTTGTGTAGGGCAGCGTGAGGATGATCGTGAGGTCTTTTTTCCTCCTGGCGTCATTTCAGGATGAATCCTTCGGAGTTCTGATGCTGTTGTTTCATTTCCTCGTGACTATGAGCTGTTTTCAGAACAATAATTCGGATTCTGATCTACTAAGCACTTATTTGGGATCTGCCCTTAAGCTATGCACGGCAAGCAAGGAGGCACGTCGTTATTGCAGACTCAAGGTGAATGCGAATAAATGAGTGGTTTTTCAATTCTCGACATTTCTTAAAGTTGGCATCGAACTGAAGTTTAAGTTTCTTTCATCGGTAAGATGAAATGCAGCCATCGTCACAGAGCAAGCACACGATTGATGTTCACTGGTATTTCTATCTATTTTCCTGGCGTTTGAAGGTCTTGTAATTTCTTTACAATCATGTTCAAAAATTCTTGTGATCTTGACAGGAGCCTCATTTTTGTTTAAGACCCCGATTGTTGTAACTTTTCATCGATGAATTCGAAATATTCAGTCACGATTGCTTGCCAATTTTTCTCTCTTCTGCGATTCTCGTGGTGATCCTTTTTTCTTCATTGTATTGCTGTTATATTGAAAATTTCAGATTTTACCTCCTCTCGTTGCTGCCGATGTCGCTCGACGCCCTGACGAAGGTGATTCTCTCAGAAACAAGATCGTTCGTGTGATGATGAGCCCTGCGTTTTCAAAAGATCTTGCCTCCGAGTTCATGTTTGTACTTTGTAAAAGATCAGGTGAGCTCTACTTTCATGAGCGTTTCATTGATACTGATATTCTAGTTTATAGTCAGCCGACTGATCAAGTACACTGGTCTTGGACATTCTGCGGGACTTCTGGCTAACTGTGGCCTTCTCGGGCACATAAATCTTCCCAAGAGTGCCTCAGATAGTGAGGACTCAGAAACGGAGGAGTACAAAGCTGTCGAAGACAGGTTGGTTTGCTGGGATTTATGAATTATGATTAAAANTTATAGGATAAACCCGGTGACGGGCTACTTGCGACCTGAGAACCCTGGTGTATCTCCTTTCGAAGGTATGAGCGAAGAACAAAAGGAATATGAAGCAATGAAGCTGGTGGATGCCATGAATAAACTGATGAATACTGGTCAGTTTTTCGTCGAGCTTAATTCAAGAGCATCGCAACAATCCTTCCTGCTGACAAGTAAGGTGCTGAGATTGAGGATGGCTCGAAATCCGTCCCTCTCTAAGTTTTATTCTGTACGAAGTCCCAATTAATCATCTCATTGCGCCTTTCCCATTTCTTTGGATCTCTTAATTTTGTGTGATGTGTCCCAATCACAGGGTTATCCTTTAGGATTCCTACATCAAGTCACCTCCCTGTCTAGACCATTGCCCTCTGATCACCTTCCTGCTCAGAACACTGCTCACCCGCAAGTGTTCTCGTTGCAAGTGCAATGGGTCATCAACACCCTGGGGTTGGGTATTACCCTTCGCTGAGCCCCTTTTGCGAGCTTCCTTTTCTCACAGTTTGCAGAAGCACCTTTCATTCTGGTGGTCCCCTCCTTTCCCAATGATGTTCAGGCTACAATCAGTCAAAATTTATTTTTCAAATTTATATGAGCTCCAGAGTCCTGCTTCGTATGTGGGATTGTATTGATTAGCTAGTTGAGTGACTAGCGCAGCGAGTTTGAGTGATTTTTGATAGTGGTGGTAGAAATGAAAAGCATTTTATCCACCTTCATAGTCCACCACAACACTCTCTCATCCTTTTGACACCGGTTACGTTTCTTTGTTTGTTACTGGAGTACACATTTGTATGTATATTGAATAAGTAAATTATAGGTGTAGTGAAGCCAGGCACTATTGGAGAAGATGGTCGTCCGAAAGCTGTAGGTCATGTGCTGGAGCTTGTGAAGGATGTTCCTGATGAAGAACCTGCATCTGACAGTGAATAAGGTAGTGATCGTAAGCTGGGTATCGTTCTAGTCCACGTACGAGTCAATCTGTATGAATCTCAAGATCTCTACACCTCATTCTCATAATTCGTTGTACAGTTATTCATAATTCGTCATTAAGCGATTCAGACATTTCAATGCTGTTAGTTATTGCTTATAAGATTGAAAGAATTCCTTTGTGTTCAGCTCAGGTCTGCACCAGAAAAAATGTAATAAGTTTGCTATGAAAAAGTTATTTTTAGGGCCTAGTTTAACTTTGCTTCTGTTGGATGTGCCAACGCTTTTGAAGTTTTTTTGTGTAATAGATTCTCTTGTTCGATGCACTAATTTTTCTTTAATTATTTTGATTCTTTTTGTATTTAATCATACATGTATAATATATTGTTCATGTTTCCACGACATGTTAATGTTGCTGTAATAGCGCCATTCAGTTCACCGTAGAGCTGTTTTTTCCACACAAACTCGGAGTTGTAGTCATTATCATCACTTTCTTTTTCGAAGTACATTTTATTCACAATTCTATTCCATTCTGTAGCAGTTCCTGCTAGTAAACTATTCTGATATGATAGTTCCCGCTAACTACCACATATTGTTGAGTCTGGCGAAAGGGCGGAGGTGGTGGAGTGGCAAGTGTCGCACTATCACACGCGCAGAGTTTAGTGATTTCAGCCCGGATCGATTCAAGTACGGGATTGATTAACCCATGAGTCTTTTCCCTTCGCATGTTGAATCTTCTTGAGCCATGCCTGTTCCAGTAGCGGTAGTTATGAGACAGGGAACTTCCCTTGTACTTCTACTCACGAGTTGTCAGTGTAGCCGCATTTTTCTATAAGCACGGCTTGATTTGTTCGGTTGGTGCGTCTTATCGTTTCTTTCAATTCAGGTGTCGGAGTTTGGAAACCTTTTCAGTATCCAATACTGCATGTTGCTCACCCTTGCTCCATTTTGGCTGTGAATTGGTCAGCCTACTTGATAAAAGTGTGGTAAGACGGTGTAGGAGACTGTAAAAACTAGAAAACTGTTCGTTTAAACAAAATAGATGAAGTGCGAAGTATTCAGGGTACCGCGTGGGCCAGCCATACCAGCCTCGACCCAGCCGTACTTTCAATTACTTTTAGACGTGCGAGGACATCGTTGGCTTGCGGTCTTTACGTATAAGGCCCATACTCCAACATTTGAAGATTTCAGAGGACGCCCTATCGGATGAGTCGGATGTGTGTTGTCTCGAGAACTCAATATCTGCCGTTCATGTGAAGTATTCTTATGCTTTTGATTCGTTACATTTTTCTTTTTATTGTCTTTTGAAATAGAATAATAGGAAAGTCATTCAGGTGACGAACCTCAGAGATATTGCCCGAGATGACCTTTTGTATGCGGCTCTTGAGTATCAGAAGCCGTCTTTGAAGAAATCGATCCGCTCGATCGCTAGCTGAGAACGCCTCCATATATGTGAGCCAGTGTGGTTTAGAAGACTCCTGCTTGCTTGATGGACACGAAGCAGGTAAATCTTCCAAATTTCGATTCGTTTCAAACTTCCCCTGAAGAAGTTCACGAAAGTCGAGACCATTGCCGTCTGCGGCTCGTAGAAATTCACTCCTTGAGTTTTTCGTAAAATAGAACATTTCCTAAAAGTGTCAACGATGTAGCATTCAAAATTGGGAGTGAAATAAAATTTGTTGAGCGAATCTTTAATGTATTGGGCAATGGACGAAAATAATGACAAAAGTTCCCAATGATGGAACCGAACACTAGAAATTGGAGCATAAGGACGTTATGGGACACTATTCCAGGAAGTATACTATGAATAGAATATTTAGAACTGAAACGCCCGTCAAACAACCGCACCACGGCTATGCACACCCCAATACAACAAGTCGTAGGCAGTTGTCGTGTAAATGTAGTACGCACGACCACATTCACTATGGATATGTACAGAGGATAGAATGTGAGCATTTTGGAGTTATATGGAATTAGTGGATGATCGTAGGTCTCTTCAGACCGGGAGGTGGTGAAGGCCTTGACGACTGAGTATGAACGACGGGTACGTCCGGATGTGCTCGTATCTGAAAAAAAAAACTATTTCTGAAATCGTTCCGTTAAGGCATCCCAAGAGTAGCCGAGCTTCGTTTTTGGTTCGATTGCATTAGAATTCTACCATGCGGAAATTTGGCTTATTGAGTCCCAGTGAGCTGTTCTGACCACCCTTGTGGACGGGGAAGTATAAATGCACTGAGTGCACGCCCTGCTCTATAATTTTCCGAGAACTCTGTGTGTTGGGTCTATGATCCACGTGCGTCCCTGCAACCCCTTACATCCCTCATGGGAACAATTTGATATCCCTCATGGGAACAATTTGATGAAATTAGGGTGAATCCCATCAAATTTGGTTTCCTCCCCTCACATTCAAATGTGCTGACGGCTTCTCATTCTTCAAATTCTCCGCCCATCTCGCAGATACCGCCCATCAGCCGCCAACTGTTTGCAAAGGTGTGGGTTGTTCAATCGTGGTCATACAGTGTTCAACATATACGTTGCAATTACTAACCTGCATCTCGTGTCCGCTGTGTGATCGACGAACTTTGGTCTTTTTCCTCATGACAGTGTGGAAGACCGGTGACTCAAGAAGTGGTCATTAAGGCAGCTGATAATGTAAGAGTAAGCTGAGACATGTTTTCCATACTCACCTCTTGATCCTGATGAGGATTAGCGCTGAGTCCCCGACCGCTGTGAGCAGACACAGTAGTGCGTGTGGATGATCCGCTACTGCTAGCAGGAGATACGGCTCGTACAGATGGCAGATCGTCATCTGAAGGTGAATGACGGTCAGAGTCCTTGGAGATTTTGTCAGCGTGAACGACATACCTCTCTCGAACAGCACCATATTGTTGCCTTGACTCTCTTTGTATTCGACGACTACTGGCTCGTAAGAAAGTAGGATGTAGATTTTCGGCCCGAATAAGAGGCCAAGGAGGATCGAGGCACAGCAGATGAGTTCGGCTACAACCACTGTTTCCTGGAAATTGGCCGTATTGTTGTTGAAGTTGACAGAATGATTTATAAATAACTTCCCAGGGGGACCATTTTGCTCTGCTAGGCGATTTGGGGTAAACTTTTTTATGGGAAAAATATTTTTAACGGCGGACAGTGTAGCTGTGTACGATGAGTTGGGGGACTCTTTCATGGAGAAGGATCAATCCCGTCCGAGGGTTACTTGCTAATGATCCATCTAATACATCGACCTAAGTATCCAGCTAATGAAAGTCGAGCTGGCTAAGCTTACCTTAATCTCATTTGGTACCATAAAGTAGGCCGTTATCCATGCCAACCAAATAAGTGTACAGAGCACCGATGAAACGAACAGCCACTTGGTTTCCTGAACAGGCGATTATACTTGGCTTCTTGGGATCCCTCTGGGTACGAGGCAAGTGTAGAATCAACTGACTTTGTAATTTCTCTTTATATTTCTATTGATGCTGTTGATGAAAAGGGCGAGGAAGAGCAAAATGATGACGTAGACGTTAGCCAGCACGAACTCCTGTTTTCCAAGGGTGCAGACCATGTCGGAATGGGCATCTGACACAGCCAGTGTGGACATGAATGGCTCGGCAAACCATCTGAAAAAAATCAGTTCTTAATAATCATTTTATATCGAATTGAAGCACTTTTCCTGGCGTACCTCGTGTTGAGAGCTATCTGGACGCCGATAATGAAGAATAACAGCAGCCAGTAGTTCCAGAATGAGATATGTACCACATTACCGAATCCAAGGGTTTCAGCATTACGTAGTTGGGTGGCTTTGGCGATCATCACTCCGAAACATAGCGAATACCCGAATCCATGCATCACAACTCGAAGTCTGCACACCTTAAAAGGGAACACCTCAGTCATGCTGTGCTGATGAATTGTAGGCCATTTGGGAGAGCCTATTCTAAGGGTGTTCTTACAGGTGGCGGAAATCTGATCATGGTTGCTTGTTGAGAATTTTTAACAACCAGGATGTCTTTTTTACTATCTTTAGTTTTTTTTCTATTACATTTATACGAAACTTCCTGTGATATGATACCTGGTCACTCTAGAAGAATTCGTGGTCTTTGAGGCTGTTTAGATGGGAAAGCAATTTTTGCCCGCTTCTATTTGTGACCGACGCCGGATTCGCCCAGTATGAAAGCTACAGGAAGCTTTAGAGGTACCTTTAAGGGGACTCACCAAGTCGGTTGCATCAAATACGAAGAAATAAGCGGTGATATAGAGTATGATGATGCCGACCAGAAGAGAAATACCAAGTGATTGATTCCCTTTCACGACACGGAGGTAGAGCTTTACCAGCACTGAAATTCACACAATAAATACTTTTGGTAAATCAGAGCATCCCCTAGACACTCCCTGAATTAGAAAGCTTTCCATGTTTAGGCTTTGAGATTTACAAAGTATGAAATGTTCTCGTCAGCTATGCTTCCTTGGAGTCCGTGGCCTACACGCTACTCAGAGCACTACTTACACGCCCCCATGGTGTTTGTCCCGCCCCTTGCAGATCATCTGCGTTGTGGTTCAAAAAAAACCGTTTATGCATTCTTACCGAGCACTAGCACTGCGACTGCTATGATGGTCAATACGGAGATCAGAGCCAAGAGGACGAAATTGTGGGTGTACTGACGCCATTGTCCCATGGATAGATGCTCGAAAACCTGAAAGTATTAGAGTTGCGGCTACCCATACCGACCATTCTACCTTATACCCGTTGAGCAACACTCACTGATTGATAGCCGACTTTCTCAGCTCCAAAAGCGGGCTGTCGTCGAACGTATGATCCAGTACTTCTGTCGGTATCGACCTGTTCGGATGCATACACGAACGAATCCAATGGTCGCTGTAATGACATCGTTCCCCATTTTCTCGACCAAGCTGGAAAGGCACCTCCTCACCTGAAGGAAGTCACCGTCGAGGAAGCACTTGCACATCGGCGGTTGACATTTCGACTCTACAGGTCCGTCGAAGAAACTACGATAAAGTGAGTGCAAGCGTAGACCGCCATTTAGCGACCAATTGCCGAGGGTGCGGTAGTCATATTCGTCTAAACAGATAGTAATGGTACAGCGGAAAATGGGCAATTTTCTCAATAAACCTACCGTTTCCAACTTGCAAGTATTCGTAGATTTCAACGTCATCTTCGACAGAGGTCTTCTTCAGTTGGGTAAGGATTAGTTCGCGACCACCTTCATAGAACTCCAAACATAGACCCGATTGAGTAGGGCAGAGCTTCTAAAAGATGTACATCAAGGCGTAGGTGACTGGAATTTCCATTAAACTGGCACTGTTTATATATTTGACTTGCCCTGTAGACCGAATCCATGGCGAATAGGAACCGTTCGATTCCACGCGACAGATAACCGGCCTTAGTCATTCGTCCTGAAAACGAAAGTAAACTAAATGAATTGTGTGGGTGCTGAGAGGGTGTATGTCCTACCCAAGCTGGCGATATCAAGCAGCTCGTCGCCTGTGCACATTTTTCCGTAGGTAAGTTTGCTCTTCTGGGTAAGCGCACACTGCCAACGATCCTCAATGTATGACCAATACCAGTTCTCTGGTAATGTCAACGGTGTTGTCGTTTCCATCCATTCACGGAAGTCATGATGAAGGATGTCCTGAACAGGAATGTCTGAGAAGTGCCAAAGATTCAGACCGATCCTGTCAAGCCCGACAATTCAATTCTGGCTATCCCAGATGTTAATGGAGCAATCGGAACATCCTGTACAGGCATACTCAGCGGTTGTCTAGCAATGCTAAAAGCGTACCTTGGGCTGAACAGAAACGATTCCTTGGAACATTTTCTTGTTCTGCGGTTCGTGCAGATACCAATCATGAGCATCACCCATCATCACATGGACAACCTTCCTATGGGAACGGAGTGTCAACGAAAGATAGGCAGCGGCATCTCGAGCAGTTGCAAACACCTATACAATTGCTTTAGTACCTGGAAACACTTATGATGCTAGAAGAACTTACTATGGTGACGTTGGTCGAGGTTCCGACAGGTGGTAGATTGTCTACTCGGACTCCACCAATGTTTACGACTTCGGCTAGACATACTCCGCGATCCAATGCCAAACGTTCAAAGTTTCGGAACGCTGAGAGGGATTCGGGGTCCTGAAAGGAAAAGCTGAGGTCCCTAGGAACAAGTCGTAAGATTCTGGATACGCACCTGTTCACTAATTGCTACTGTGACAAACTGCCAGTGCATTCGATTGAGGAATCTGAGAAGTGCTAAAGCTTGACTCCTTGCTCCTGGCAGAGCTGTGAAAGCATGACGAGGTGTGGAGTCAGAATCAGCAGCCACCAGAGCGACGGCAGCATCTCCAGATGAGAAATAGCCCTTGAGTGCTTCCTGGGAGTCACCATGTAGAGCGGATACATAGCCGAACACGGAACCGGGAACAATGGTGATATTCCGTCCGGCTTGATTGAAACGGAAGCACTGTGTCTCTGCCCGAACTACGGTCTCAATAGCTTGCTTCCCAGAAGAGCACGAATCCACTAGTAATGCTCCGAAATCGAGATTCTTCAGAAGAGACAGATCGGGGAAGCGTTGTTTGAATGTCCACACCTGAAACGGATGGGGTTACCTCACTGGGAATGCAACTGGGAGTAAAGCACCTACCGTATGTATGAATGCCATTGGTAGACTGATGTCAGTCGCTTTCATGGACTGGCAAGCAGTACCACCGTGCAGATCAAACAAACCAATCAGGTACATGGGGTAGTGACGAGGAATCGAGAGGAAATGCCTCTGAAAATGGATGGCTCAGTAGTGACAGGCCCTAGAAGACGGCTCCAGAACTCACCTCTCCATTAACTAGCTGCACATTTGGGCACTGACCACAGAACGGTCGATAGGGACTGCATATCGACCGTTTCCTCTGATCAGCGAGATGATTCGAAGACAGAGTAACAGATGGCTGTTTACCAGTTGTGTAGGTCATCAGATTGTGAACACTGGTCTGTCCATCGTTGTCGATGAACAGCTCAATCGCTTTTACTGTCATGCCAGAGGCCAGCAGAATGTTTTCACGACCTAAATATGAAACTTGCAGCTTCAGCTCTTGTTTACTGTAAATTTGAAAACGATGCTGTGATCAATATCGGATGCCCATGGATTACCCATAGCAACCTTATTCTCCTGCCACCAACTAGAAGCCCTATTTCGAAGGCTCACAGGTCCTAATCAGTACCTTGACTGGTAATCTGCTTCAAACAACTCTGGATAGGGTACTGAAGGGCATTCGATTAAAGGGCCAGGACCCTTACGTGTATGACCCCCTTAGAGTCCCCAATTATTCGGAACTAAGTCTTCGAGAGAGCGGAGGTAGTGTAGTGGCAAGTGGCCTATATCGCACGCACGGTCGCGGGTTCAAGCCCCCGCTCGATATCCGCTCAGGCTAACCAAGTCTTCCGTCCCTCCGGAGTCGCTTAGTTGGTACCACACTTGTCTGAGAGGATAAAAGCACTGACTTGTACATTGGCTGGCCCCCGCAAGACATTGTATAGGGCACATACGCATTCATTACGCCACTACGATTCTGAGTGGAAGTCGAATGCGTGGAGGCAATCCTCAGACGGTATTGATCAGCGCCCCAAGACTTTATCCTTTACCCTGTAAGCTTTCAAGACTTTTAATACGACTTTCCTACCTTTGAAGAACCTCAGCCGTTCACCAGCCATTTCAGAGGGGTCGTTGATACCGAACGTATAGTCGAGTGCAAGGAATTCTCGCATTATCAATGCCGTACACTCGGGAGATGGATGAGCGCTGAAGATGTTCTCATTGGACCTGTTCATGGACCATCTAACTAGCTGACCAACCATAAACGTTCCTTGGCAGCGTCGCTGGCGATTCTCTGCCCGACAGCTGCAAACGCGTACGTCATTCGAACGACCGCTTCGGCCGATTTTGACTGCTGATAGAGCTGCCCCAACTGGTGCTTGTCGACCTCACACACAGCCCCGCTACAGTTGTACACCTGAAAGAACCAAATTAATCTACAGATTCAGAAAAACTTTAACGGGGGCTTTACCTGTTGCACATATGATGTGAGCAGTTGGTAACTCTGGTAGTTATTCTTGAGTACTCGAATGAAGTAGTCACGGAATTGCGGCAGGTCGATGAATTGTTGTTGTAGCAAAATAACCTAAAGAGGACTGTGTCAAAAGGTCTGATTTTCCCGGGACAGTGGCGATCTTACCTCAATTTCTGCATCGACTGGGAGAAGCTCCATCATCTCCGTTTCATCCAGCGCCTCTCCGTCAATTGGTAATGATATCCAAAGCTTGTCCATTTTATAGATGCTCGAATCGTTTAAAGTAGCAGCGAGCTGGAATTTCAATAATCGAGGTCGGCTGGACCACATATTCATTGCTGTCACAGTAGATTCGTGTCTTCATTGAGCTGGCAGTACAGCCGGGGTAGCAGTTAGAAGCCCGACGGAATACCGAGTAGTGGGACAACTAGCCAAGATTCGTCGCCCTATGAGCGGGACCGGAACCCCCCCCCCCCCCCCCCCCCCCCCCCTTTTTACGTGGATAGCTCCAGAATTGGAATTGGCGTCTATTGTCAAGGTGAAGAAACCATTTTCGCTTAGTCGTAAGGATAGTCTTTCCCTAAATTTCCCTGAGTCTGGCGGAACTTCCAGCTCCCCACGTCTCTCCAGGGGAGCTCCAAAGATGATCTCATCGATGAGATCAGAACATCAACGCGTCTGGGTGCTACCTACTTCTAATCGCCGGTGTGTGTTAGGCCTAGAGTAGCGAACGAAATCGATTCATTACTGTTTACCACAAACCTCTTTCTTCGGCAGCAGGGAGAGAATGATTTCACTGTCGCTGTCTTCGAGTGCCTGGGCCAGCTCGGTCTGATCATATTCCAGAGAATCGGACACGAATATATCCGCTTCATTCAATTGGCTTATCACCCTAAAATCGTTTTCCATTTGTTCGATACAGAAAAATAAGATACTACAAAAAGATAAACTGTAAGCTGTCACGACGGAGAATTTTTCTAACCTTACTTTTCTTTTTTACAGATATCAATGGGTATCATTTTGACTAGGAGGTACCAGTAACAGATCAACCCTTCGAGATCGATGTAAGGTCTCCGAAATCGTTCCTTCCTCCCGAAAGCTTCCCACTCCACAATTTTAGAATCGAGGTTAGTGGAACGTAGGGATTCCCTTACATTTTTGTAGAGATGATGGAGTCATTGTCGAAATTTCAACCTTTTTTGAAGCTACAACCCTATAACTTGTTCGGGTACTCATTAAAACGACTACCTTTTCCATTTTAGTAACCACTTAATTGCGGTCCATACTTTTTTTTACAAATAACTAATTAATTTCCTTCAATGCTTCCTTCATATGTGGATCACTGTGCCAACAAACATTGTCGGTGACATTCGTATGAGCTTTCTCCTTCCACACCTCTATTGCTCCTTTCAAGGTGAGTGTGCAATAGTCAACTGCCGCTATTACTTGCCCAACGAGTTTCCCGGATTTTGGCTAAATCGTCTCGGCAACAAACATTGCGGATGACACACATAGCTACATCGTTGGCTAGGATTTGGATTAATGGATCCTGATCAATCAGGAAAAGAATTAGGTCTACATTAAAGAAGAAGGAGAGGACTAAGGGGTTAGCAGTAAATAGATATTCGCTCGCCGCATTTTATAGTTGACCATGATTCGGCTCGTAAAATATCTAATCTTATACCCCAAAGTCGAATCATGGTTCTTCCCTTGCCTCTTAGGGTCATGAGAATGTTTCTCCGGTGATATTCCTGCTTGATGGAATGTGGAACCACAGTTGTAACAGGTCTACATTAAATTAGCTGTAATGAGACAAATTAGCTGCCATTCTTACCGTTTGACGACCTCGCTATTGTATCCATCTTCGACGATTGTGACGAGATTCGATCGGAGGGCTGTCATCAATCTAAGTGCAGTAAGCATTTACCATAAAGTAAAGGCATCAAGGAACCCATTGACCCTTACTTGATTAAAGCCTCGACGTAAACCTCGACAGTGGGCGTGGTGGCAATGATGTTCTTCAGCTGCATTTGAAGAAGAGCAGTTGCTGCTTGACTGGAATAAGCTGCTACAGGCAGATCAGCCACCGTTAGCAGTGTGCCCAACGACGACGATGAGCTGTGGTCTTTCGGAGCTATCAGACCTGAAAAGGGTGATTTTGAACGAACTTCAATCGACGCCAGTTCTCGCAAAATCCAGAAATTCTAAGGTCTAGAGCCGTGCGTTGACAATTTGGAAATCCATAAATAACAAGACGTAGCTCCCCGTTTTTTGCTTTTCACAGTATAAGCCATACCATGTCACCTGTTTACTTCTATACCAGAACCCTCATTCTCGAAGAATATTGAGAAGTGTCTCAGAGATAGGCTCATTGAAAGGGAGGGAAGAAGCTCTGACTGCGGCAAGCTGTCTGGAATAGGACGGGGCTGGGGATGCTGCACTCCGTGCAAGAGGTGGCTTTTACCCCTTTCATCCAAATTCTCTTTCTTGCAGGAGCCACTGAAGGCGTGGGAATTGCTTAAAAATTGTTTAGAAATGCTCGAGTCTAATATCAGCTGGCTCCTCGTCAGCTTTCGAATTTGAATTGTAAAGTAGGCTTGAGAGGGACTAAAGGAAGGCTTGGCTTACCTCAGTGTTTAGCCTTGAAGTTAAATTTTTTGCTAACATTGTGATTTCCAAGGAATCCGAAGGAACCTTGTTGAGGCCGGGTCAGATCAAATGGAATGAATAGTCGAAATATCCCAGCGTTCATCAAAATCACAGATGCATCGCACTTTTTTCAAGGGCATCACTCTGTTTTCCGAATTTTTGCCTCTAAGCCCTCTTAAAAGTAGAGCCATCTACCCACATTCATTTCCAGAAACAGTGGGACAAACACGTAACTAGGATTCTGTCTCCCGTCTCCCCGAGATTTTGCACTGATTTTGGGAAAATGAGCAAGTTGGTTCCGCTCTCATTTGCATTTCACATTTTCCCCAGAATGATTGTTTAAATGCACTTTGTAAGAGAAAAGCCCTCAGGCTGTGCACTTATAAGACTGGAATACTTGAAAACTTTCCAGCTGTTTGCCAGCGATTCCAAATGTGACAGTTTATTGGGGAAACCTGACGTTGATTTTCATCCATTGGAAATGTGGTTGGTATGTCCTTGAAGAGGAGTTCCAGATGTTTCTATAAAAACCGATCGAAGGACAATTTTTCGGGAATAGCGTTAAGACGCTCAGACTTCACATTCTTCCTCTGATTAGCTACAAGCAGCGTTTCTTCGCAAGAGACCGGTTTCATTGCGATGTTTTATGGTTCACATCAGATGGAAACATGAAAGATTTTGATGAAAATTCGCATAGACATCAATAAACATATAAACAAACGATTGCTAGATAACGCTTATTCCAATTGCCGATCCCACTCTTCTTGATCCACTCGGAATCTCTGGATGAAAATTCTGGGTCTCTCTATCTCTGGGTTATTTAGAAAGACCGAATCGTGCAAAAAGATTCTCGGGGTGAGGCTTCGTTCTGATGAACTGTCCTTTGGGCAGGACCAGTCGGGTGCACAGGGCCTTGGATTGCAAAACCGGTGTTCACAGTTCACAGGTGCACTTTTTAATTAGATAAACATGACCTCTCAAAAAGAGGATCATAAAGTTGTTTTGCAACCAACGCTAGGCCTATGTAGACCGGTAGGCATACAGAGGAAATGAAACAATAAACATAATTGGAAGTTTTTCATCGGCTTTCCAAATGTTCAACGGAATTCCTAAGGTCACAGTTGTACTCATTTGCCCACTGCTTGGTTTTTCGTCCTATACCGCCCTTTCACTTTTCCTTCTCCTATTTTTCCCTTTTCGGGGCAGAAAAAGGATGAATGGAACACATATCAGGATAATTTCCTTTTGTAAGCTTTAAAAAACCTTTACTGTACCTATGTTGCTGCTAATATTGCTTTGAAAGCTCTTAAGTTTTCTTGAGAGTCCCTGGAAGAGGGAAGTAATGCGTGGCCTTGGTGAAGTGTTGCGAATTACGTTCAGTAGCCGAGTAATTCATGGCGAGCTTTCAAGTACCTATCGTCAGCCTTGAACAAGTGTTAGACGATCACTTCAGTTTGGTTCTCCCCACTTATCTCGGCCGGCCCGTAGCTAGATGGGACGACTCTTTGCTGGGTGTTCTTACAATTGGGTCGAGTAAAACAAGTTTTTTTCTCGGCGATTCGTATTGGCTAGCGGACACCCGCCGACGGAGATCTTGACTGAATAGAGAAGGTTCACCACGAGTGGCTTCAATGGTTGAGATCCTCAACAGAAGCCAGCGGGAGAGATTCGGGCCGCTAACGCTTTTCTTCAAGGTGGGGTGAGTGGAGCCAGATGTTGGAATGGGCGCGTTACATTTTTGTAAAAGTTCGGTTGTTGTAGCTTGGTTATGGTAGCTCTTCAGCCCCACACCCAAGCCGAGAAGTACTTTTCATATTCTCAAACAATCGACCTGAAGCGTCATTCTAAGCAGATTAGAGTCATAGTCATAGATCGCCTGATGAACTGTGGAAGGACTTCCCTTCCTCTTTCGTTCCCCGCACCCACTGGTCCTGGTATGGGAGGACTTCCCTTCCTCTTTCGTTCCCCCCACACCACTGTTCTGGTATTCTGCCGTGTAGGAATACCGAAATCAATGAATTTTCCCTTAAACTAATACCCTCTAGCCACCAAGCCGTTCCAATTGTCCTCCGATAGCCTGCTTCACCTGTCCGGTCGGCTTAAACAGCCTCTAATGCCACCGCTAGCGGATAAGCCTGTGGATCGACCACCGTTGCAACACGACGGCTCTATGGCCTTGATGAATCCGGTCCGGGAATCCACTAACCGAGCAGTTTGGCTCCAGTGTTTTCCGTTCGGCATTCTTTTGGTTCATGATAGCCGACCGAATCGAGAAACCGTAACGATTGCGAGAGCGCTTCTTGAGCTCGAGAACAAGTGTCTCCTGCGTATAGACCTGAAAAAGTGCCCATTTGATGACCTCATAACTGGTTTTGAATCGCACAGGCTTACCTAGCTTAGCATTGTAGTTGGCTGGATTCTGATTCCAATGGGTAAGAGCCCATTGGATGACAACGATCTCTTGTACTGTCTCCGGTTGTAACTTTTTGCAGTCATCCTCATGAAGTGGAAAAGCTCCTCCGATTTGGAACTGAAAATAGGCAGCATTACTCAGAAGTTCACCACGTCCTCTATGCTGGTCTCCAGGGGGTTGACCCAGAAAGATTAAGAGCTTGGTTGGCATGGGTGGATATCAATCCCGAGATTTGGACACCGAACGCTTAGTGCATTGGAGATTTCCTTCGCAAAAGAAAATCCGGAGGAATTTGTTTACATTTTGTCTCAACTAGCCCCATTTCTGCTTTTTTCACCCCTTCGCCGTTCCAGGCAGGTGACTAACGGTTTTCACAAACTGGTGTCTATCGGTTGAGCTAAAAAACACTTCATGCAGAAGATTCCCGAAAACAAGTTATTGAAACTGCGCCCTGTGATCAGAAGATTTTCTCGAATGCTTGGTTTAAACCGCTCGGATCACCCCACAATAGTCTGTCCTTTACGAGCAACCCCAACCCCAGGCGAATGGCAATTCCGAATGGGTTTTCATCCCTGAAACATCGCTCCAATCACACTCTCACTAGCCAATCACACTAGCCAGTGCAGTACCCTACAGAGTTTCCAAATATCAGGACTTATAGGCGAGTATCCTGTGACTAGAGTTGAGGTACTCTCGCTCCCTTTTGCTTGGAATTCATTCAAGGTGGAAGTGGGAAGGCCCCAGGGTTTGAGCAAAATATCCGAGACAAGTTTGAAAAGTTTAAGAGAATCTGTTTCATAGTATCTCGTTCTCCAAACTGATGCATTTTCATTGGTAATGAAGATAGAAAGAGGTGGTATAGTGGGAGGGGACACTACCACATGGGTATGGTCCAGGGAACGAATCCCGGATCGTCAATCGCCCTCACAAACCAAGCCTTCGTTCTCTTCAAGGTAGTTTAGTTGTTAACAGGCTCGTCTGGGAGGATAAAAGCAGCTGCCTGTAAATCGGCTGGCTACAAGTCTTTATAGGCCATATTCAAAACGCCACTACGGTCCCTAATGGAGGTCGGAAGCGAGGCGCATTCCAGAATTAGGATTGATTTGATTATCATCAATGACTGCGAATGGTACGACGGCATTAGTTTTTCAAAAATTCATGTAAATGAGGTTACTAGGACTGGGATTCACACCGTGTTGCTTCTTTACGCTAAGCTGCAGAACAGATTTTTCTTGAAAGGGCGGTAGGCCAAAAAGCAAAAGGTTTTTCTCAAAACTGAAAAAGGAGATTCGCTTAAGATCGGCCTCAATTGCATTTTTTTCAAAAATGTTAGTCGATCGGAAACCACACAGTTCTTTCTTCATTCAAAAAGATCATCATTTTAAAAATTCCTTCGATAGACCGTGTCATTTATCATTCACACTTATTTTTCGTCCGTCGACCGAAATACGGTCACACTCCAACCTGCGTCAAGTGATGGTTTCTTCAAACTCGATTTCCTTCCGGAGGCGTGAGATTCGTCAATAATTAATTTCAAGTCGCATCTTCATTTATTACACAGAATAATCCAGAATTTTGCAGAAACTTTCTTTTTTGAGGTCATACCGTACTGTTAGGCTGACAAAAGGGGCCATGCGCTGGGCGCGATGACAGTATGAGTGGGAGTGCGCCTGTATCGAACCCTGTCCTCCCATACTGGTGTCCAATTTGAAAGCGGTTTGATTTTGAGGTGCTTCGAACCCAGCCTGATACTGATCAGTCATCCCATGAGCTAGTCACGCTTTCGCTGATGTAACATGGTGCCTGAGGACCTTAGGAGTAGGGAAGGGTCTGTGTCTCATCCGTCCCATGTCAGTCTCCTGTAGTACGAACTAGACCGCTCCCAAATTGAATGCTCGAAACCCCAACATTAGGTTCGATCCCAATTCTATGGAACTGAAAAGCTCGGAAGGAGTTTAATTGAAGGTTTCCCCCTGACGTCCGGGGCCTTTCGTGGCGCAGAATGGAAAACGACAGCTCATCGAAAACCTGTCACTAATCACAGCCTATTCCAATTGCAATTCACGTCACCGGTACTGGCGGGACATAAATGGCAATGATTCCGGGGTTCGATCAGATGGGAGAGTCCCGGAGCTGGTCCCGTTGGTGCTGCCTTCTTTCATCTCTCCAAGTAAACGCGATTCCGACCATGGTAATTCGTATTTAGCCGTTTTATCGAATCACAAAAAGGGTCAAGCAAGTAGCAGTAGCGATGGCTGGTTGTAGAGCGATCCGGTCGTTGACCTTGACGACACGATACCGGGTAAACAGTCGTCACACATCGTTACCATTCTTGTGATGAGTTTAAGTTTTTACTGGATAAAATCTCTTTGCATGGTCGATTCACACATCTGGAATTGTTCGCATAACGAGAGAAAAGACCAGGAGTTCCAGGAGTGCAGAAAGACCTACTGGGCTCCGCACAAGTTCGCATTCATACAGTCTGATGAGAGGAAGTGATGAAAGTGGATGTCAGAGTTCCCTTGCGTAACAAAAGATGTAAACAGAGTGCATGGCTTATCTGCTAGATTGCGCCCTGCCTACGCCTTCATCCGAAATCTCATTAAACGCACATGCAGTCTTTAAAGGGTCTAAAGAGTTGCATTGCTACCCTTCTGGACGAGTAGCACGTAAGGTAGAGGGTTTGTTCTGAAAAAGGCTACCTATTCTACTTTTAGTGAAGACCTCTAGCAGTTCCTCTCCACTGAATATTTCAAGATAAACTCCTTCTGGGTTCAACGGCTTATTTTGAATCGAAAAATTCCATAGTCTATAAAATGTAAGTAGAAGATTGATAAATTGATATAGAAGGTCGAAACAACTGCCCGGTGGTTCCAGCGGCTGTAGGCCGAGTGGACTCAAGGGACGCCGAAAGAGTTCTCAGAGGGCCAATCGGTCGGACTGCTGGCCGGAAAGAAGCAAATTGTAAAGAATAGGGTTCCCAGTCCACACTACGATTCTGGAAAAAGCGACTGTTTTCCTGTTATTCTAAAGACTTAGAAGAATTTTCTTATGCTGAGGCTTGGAATGTGAATGATTCCAGATAGGAATCGAATACGAAGTGGTGCGTTCCACTGGTACTTGGTGCCCTGCTATAAAACGGTCGACTTGTGAAATTGCTTTATTGCCATGCACTTTGTAGTCGCGGGAACCATCGACCATGGAGGAATGACCCGACAGTTCCTTTCGCACCCACTCACATACGTAGCTGTGGATCTGTTTGTGAAGAGGTCGGGGAAGAACCTTGAGAGGGCAGTATTCCCGCTGGACCGATACGGATACGGTTGGAGTCGATACGAGCAATAAAATGGGATTAAAGTGTTCTCCAAAAAAGGTTGATGAAAGCTTGGTGTCTAGCCCATTAAGTGGGTTCATTAGGGGCATTTGCTTGGGTCGTTAGCACCTTTTCCGCCTTCCCCGACTGATTGAGTGAATTCTCATTCTCTGCAGGAATTATCGCCTAGTCCAATCAATCTTTTCCAACCCCTATGAGTTTCTGCGGTTCTGGAGAGGTCCGAAAACTTTTCGAGTTCTAGAAAGGTCTAAAAACTTTAACGAGTTCTTCCAACCTATAATTATCCAACTGAAATGGTAGCAATACGGTGCAAAATGTAGGAAAATACCAATTTTCCCTTTATTCTCTTCCATGCCCCCTACTTTCCGTTTCTAGGTTAACTGTAGTGAATACTGGGCATTGTTCTTACGTTCTCGGGTCCCTGTATCGTACTGTGGTTGATCGAACGGCAAGGGGATGGAAAAGACGGCTGCCACTCCTTAACAGACCTGATTGCCACACATATACCTTCGCGTACCTCCACGATTCTAGACCCAGATCGAGACAATGGCGCATCCACAAGCAGTTGCCCTGTACTCCCATTCTAGCCCATCCCTACTGGTAGAGAAGTTCCCCGTATATTCCATACATAACGGAAACCATACATATGGGAAACAGCATGAAATTGATGTGTCAGTGTGAATACCAATGAATGTAGGACCATCGCCCAATTCGGAAAGGATTACGGTAATAGGATAAATGGGCCTTTTAGTTCAAATTTAGCGCAAGGACACACGTCTGTCGTGTTGTCAGCCGACAACAGTTTCGATGTGTTTCAGAGAAAATTGCTCGTAAAGTTGCCCGAAAATGGTTAACGTGAATGGTATAAGTGCCGAGACCGAGACCTGTCACTTCATTAGCTTGGGTAACTTTGTCATCGTCAAACTGGTAGTGTAATAATCGGCTACGAAGACTTGAATATCGTTCGCTCGTCTCCTATTTCGTCTCTACGAAAATTTCGGGTTAAGACTGGAAGGTGAAAATCGGCCTCGGCTCACTCTTTTGGAATGCGCCATGCATTCGGGTTATAGTCGGGACTTAAGGCGCATATAGATCAGTACGCACTTTAACGGAAGGTCACTGTCTATTCTACCGTAGTCTATCCTGTCTTACAGTAACCGCATTGCTGCTTCATACTACTAATGGTCGTAAAATGTCGCGAAATACACGTTCTAGGAAGTAACTGGTAAAAAGCAATGATGAGATTGCTGCAAGAGATCAAAGCACATCTGAGTTTTCGGAGATGTTAGTGTTCAGTAGTGTTCAGTTCATTCTGGTTCTGATGCTCTTAAGATGGGGGGCTACATGTACATGGACAGGATCCAATCCAGCGATCGCGTGGGCGATATGCAGACGCCTGTCTTTCCTTGCCATTTCCATTAGCGAATTAAAGATTTATAAAGCACCTGATTGAAGAAGTGCTGATGCCAGCTAGGCTTCCCTAGTGACTGATTGTCACCCTTATGGAGCAAATAGGTCTCTTGAAAGGCTCTATTCTTCGTAAGAATTCGGTTAACCGCATCTTTTGCATAGGAACGGAGTCGGGCGTGACCATCTCACAATAATGGTGTAACCATTCTTGGGAAACAGATCTGACTGTAACCGAGGCATTTATTCTAGGGCCTAATCTCGTGAAAGCTTCTGTGTCATGATAGAGGTCGTCGCACCCTAGATATTACCCCTTTCCTTGTCCCATCGGTATGCGCCCTGCACATTACTCACATAAATCTGCCATGAGATATGCATAATGCATAAGCATAGTCGTGATCAGTGGTCAGAGCTTTGACTACCATTAGAATGACGAAAGAATAACAGTGATGCATTACAAACGTGTACA